GACTGAATAGTGTCCTTTATTGTGCTGACAATTCTGTTACATGTTTTGTTTTGTTTCTTGGATGCAATGTGTCAATGCATCTTTATTATTCACTTTGTTGTAGATTACCGTTATAAAAATCCATACTGTACAGTGATAAAAAATGTCTGGTCCATCTGGATATGGAAGAGGAGGTCGGGGTGCAGCACTAAGAGAGTTGTTTAATGCTCCTGCAAGAAAGCCAGGACAAGTTGAAGAACCGTCGCAACCACAGCAGCCTCCTCCACAAGCTGCTCAACAGGTATGTGTGATAATTTAAATATTTTCAAGATTAAAAAATGTACATTGTTGAAACATACACATTCATTATTTCTGGGGTTGGTGGTTGGGTTAAATGGCACCATTAATCTGGGGATAGGATTGGTCGTTTAAATGGCTTCATTAATCTGGGGATGGGATTGGTCGTTTAAATGGCACCATTAATCTGGGGATGGGATTGGTCGTTTAAATGGCACCATTAATCTGGGGATGGGATTGGTCGTTTAAATAGCACCATTAATCTGGGGATGGGATTGGTTGTTTAAATGGCACCGTTAAACTGGGGATAGGGGTTGATTTGGTTAAATGCCACCATTATTCTGGAGATTGGGACAGTAGACCAGTACCCGGACACTGCAACAATAGACAAGTATCCTGACACCATGAGAGTAAACCAGTATCCAGATTTTGCAACATTAGTATCAGACACTTTGGCAATAGACTAGTACCCAGACACTTGACAGTCGAATAGTACCCAGACAGTATGTAAACGCTATGACAATAGAGCAGTACCCAAACAATTGACTACTATCGAAATGCTACAGTAATACCCAAACTGAAATAGACCAGTACCTAGACGATAGACCAGTGCCCAGACACTGTAGGAGTAGACCAATACTAAAAAAAACTGCATTAATAATAGTACCCAAACACCATGACAGTAGACCAAACAATAGACCAATACCTGGATTGTGACAATAAACAATTATCCAGACAGCACCCAGACAATAGACTAGACCAGTATGCAGTACCGCGGACTGAAAATAGGGCACGGACTTACAATAGGACAAGTAGCCAGACAATTAATAGAACAATACACAGAAATAGACCAGTGCCCAGACACTGCAGTGATATACCAGTACAAAGAAAAAATACCAGTGGTTCTAACATTGTGACACTAAACTAGTTTTATGTTCTTAGGTTGTTACTGATTCTGTGCAGTGTTGGTTCAACAATTGACTTCATTTAGCTGTTTGACAAAACTGCTTGCTTCAGATTTTTCAGACTTGCCCTGACAAAAATGTCTTTACATGATTCGTCAGCGTATTTTGAATAAACATCACGTTTCTCACTCATATTTCACAATACGTACATCTTGCACTCATGACTATTTAAAAATGTAATGAGTTTTCAATGCTAATATCTGTCTCAGGAATATGTTGGCAGGGGTTTAAGTGCTGTCGGCAGAGCAAGTGTGGTAAGTACTATTGGTAGGGCCAGTCCATCCGGTGCAATTCCAAAAACAGGTATGTCACCTGTGGGACGAGGGTTAGCCAGTTTGCTCCATCAGATGAAAACTGAAGATCAACAGCAAAAAAGCAATGTTGCAGCTGCTCATACCCCTCCAAGGATATCGCCTGAGATGGTGACTCCAGTTCCTTCACCGAGCCATGTGTCTTCCTATTCATCATCATTATCCCCTTCACCAAGAGGGCGTGGTGTAGCAGGATTATATCAAACATCTGTTTCCTCTGTTTCCTCAACAGGTAAGTCATCAGTATTTTTACACAAGAATGGGGATCTCTCTAGTATAGTCATGATTTGGAGTGTTGTAGATGGCACTATACATTCAACAAATCCATGTGGGAGAAGTTTGGGGAATATTTTTTATAGACTAAAATAATAACTAGCATTTTGTTTATAAAACAATTTTGTGTTCCAACAGTACCAGCTTTTAATTTCTGGTCAAATATGTTAAATGTATGTTAGTTTGACTATCTTCATTCACTTCCCACTTTTTTTCTTCTTTTGTACAGGCTCTGTTTCTCCTAAAATGCCAGAATCTCCTGTACAGAGAGTAGGACGTGGTGCTCTTGGCCTGGGAAGAGGACTGTTATCACCAACGTTGACATCACAGCCAGTCAGTCAGAGGGTTCCAGCTGTAGCCAAATCTCCAACTATGGGTTTAGGTGGAGATGATGGCATAACGTTACCAAAGACACCACCTCAAAGTTTTTTAGACAAACCATCTCCTGTTGGACCTGCAGGTGACGCAGGTATCTCAGCTACCGAAAAAATGCAGAAACTTGGGATTCAAGAAAAGAGAGAGAGGATTTCTAAGACTGGTTCAGTTGGTCAAAAGTAAGTACAGTATTAAAAACCTGTCTATATTGGCCACCCAGGAGACTGAGATTTTGGCCTTTAAGACAGGTTCTCTAATTTATTCATGAATATTAATTAGGCATTGAACCACTGTATTAAGACAGATCCCGCAACTGTTTCACACATACTATCACACTACTGTACACAGTATCCAAATACTTTAGTACAATTAAATAATGTTGATTTTTATTCAATTTTAAATTGTATGTATTATGTAAATTAAAATCATTTCACAAAAATCATTAACAATAACAATAATTAGTAGTGTTCAGTAGCAGTTTTGGTCATATTTCCGACTAAAGAAATCACTCCGCTTGCTTTGCTTAACTAGTCTGATTTTTATGTTTCTTTCAATGTTTGTTGTGTCTTGCACATTTAGTAACTTCTAATAAATCAGAATGTCCATGGGTTATAGCAAATTCTTTCAACTCTTCAATTTTATCTGCTGCTGTGGTAAAATTTGTGATGGTTGTTTTGGATTTTTTCTCTCCTATATTCTCTTTGTCACTGTCGCTGTCATTCTGTTCTGCCAATAAATCTACAGCAGATCTCTCCCAGTCAGTAACGTTGTCGGTAGTCGACAGGTTGACATCAATGTCTACTGGGTCTTGCAGTCAAAAAGGTCATTAGCGATGGTATTAAAGCGGGGGAGTCGTCACCTGCGTATGTGTCAGAGGGCCATAGCATGTCACTGTTTTTGCGTTTTTAGTGTCAATAAGATGATATTCAGATTTTCTAAAGCACTTGGTGATCTTCTACTTCTTTCCACGATGGTTGCACCCAGTGAATGGCCTTGAGGACATTAGTGCTTCTCACCAGCTTAGGACCACACTTGGACTTGTCTTTATCCATTTCAGCAATGATATGTCTGAGTTGTTTCTTCCTGTATGCCTGGATGATACCTTAGTAAGATACTTGACATATTATTGTGCATATTTTTATAATTATTTCCACAAAATAAATTTACAATACATGTCAAGTAACATGATTCATAATATACTACCCTTTGCTATCAAAATAGCAAATCAACCCAGTTAACATTGGTGAAAAGTTTTGTGGTGTCTATTTCTTTCTGCCCGTGAATTGAATGTATATGCTGGACACATTTGGCATGTACCAAGTTTCATATGATTGTATTTTGGCGTATGTTGGCATCGCTCATGAAGTCTGGGTTTCTGGCACGCTTCCATGTAGGTGGAAACCCCACCATCTCTTCGGTGTTGATCGTCGTCACTTTGAATGGAACTTGGTAGTTTCTTCAATGCGTTGAGGGCTGCTCTTGATTTAACTGGGTGGTTTAAACAGTGTTCACACTCGGGCTTGCACATTTTGAAAAAATGACAGTTTCTATTCTTTTGTCAACGTGGTCTACCATTATTTTGATTTTTTCGAGTATTTCGAGATTTTTGTCATTCTTTAACATGGCCATACTCGCATGCTGCACGATATGGTTTATATGCTTGTAATCTTCATATCTGCTCATGTTATCATTAGCATCCGCTGGTAGTAACTCGTTGTCACTGGATGTCTGTCATACGTTATGTTCTTCCAGTAATCCCCAAGCTGCTCCATAGCATCATTAAAAACCTGAAAGTAACAACAATAAATGACACATTAATACATTTCAATAGTAACAGGCAATATATAGATTACATGAAATTATTTGGTATATGAAAAGCATAACACGAACAAAATAATTCAACCTGACAAACCAATTAAATAAATAAATGATTCATAACTATATTAATAAGTACCTGCTGTTCCTTTATCTTTTTTTCCTGAACTGTTAACTGGTTG